AGCCCAAGAAGCAGTCGAAGGACCTGGATGAGGTAGGTCGGGTGGCGCCGCCCATTTCCTCCCTCCTTCCCCCGCCTCGGCCTCGTCGGTCTGGGGCCTCACGAGCTAATGCGGTCCCGGGAGGGCTGGTAGGGTGGGAAGACAACGGCTTATACCGAGCAGTTTAGCTTAAAATTGCTTAAATCTAGTGAATCTTCTGCTTTGGGATTGCTAACGCTTGGAAGCTGAAGCGGTTATTGCTGAGGATCACAATGGATGGATGAGGGTCTACAAAGGGAAAACGTGGAAATTTCTTAGGGAATGAGGCTGGGAAAGGGCAAATGTGATACCTCCCCACCTTGAAAAGGGAAGAGAAACCTGCAGCCTGGATAGTGAGTTTAAACTTATTCTTAGAGAAATATTGCGATCAATTGAACCTGGTTTGCAGATGTCTGGGTTGCAGAACCATAACGGAAAATAGCCAGGAGGGATTTAGTAAAACGGTGGCAAACTCGGGCAGATTGTGTTTCCGTAGCCAGGCGGCTATGGACGTGGGAGGAACGGTAGTGACAAGGGTCTGGTTGCCAACGCATACAGCATCCCCCGAAGTCACTTAGCAGCAGGTTCTAGACAGGCTGGAAGCGCGTGCGAGGAGAATGTCACACTTGAAAGCAGTTACTACCTACAGGCAGGTACTGAATTGGGTTTTGTAATGTTTAGTTTTGGCTCGGAGTCTAGTAACATTTTCATTACTGATTTGGTTGGCTGAGTAACTTGTTGGCAATGCTGCTTATTCTCTTGGTAGGCAGCAGAAAATTTGGGGGGGCTACAGACCATAGGAGGACAAGATGAATGTTCAAATCAATCTTAGCAAGTATTCGGGGAAAAAAAACTTCATGTATTTAATCAAACGTATGTGCTAATTCCCTTTCCTCGATAAGGATAATCATCTTGTAAAAGACAGAGAGAATGGCTGTCTGAATTGTGGGTCTGCAGGATCTAACTTATATTAGACTTTGAGACTTAGCCCGTACCTTAGCTGTAGCATTAGAACATGAACCAGCAAAATCAGATGTTGCAAAAGAAAAGCAAAAAATCATACAATATGTCTGAACGTGTCTCAAACATAGAACGTAATATATTTTTTTCCTCTCAATATTGCAAGCACATGTGGGCTCACATTGTATTTTTTTTTAAAGGGGATGAATAGGCAGGGATATTTCCTAGGAAAGGTTAGTCTACAGAAGAGGAACCCAAGGGTAAAACCTGCAGAGAAAAACAGAGTATTCTGTTTTGTGTGATATAAATAGAAGAAGCAATAGGCTTATATGCAGCCAAGGAAGCTCTAGATTAAAGAAGGGGAAATCTTTCCAATGGTAAAGACATTTGAGCTATGGACTAGGTCAGTGAGAAATCTGTCGTATCTCAGTTCTCTAAGATACTCAGTTTGTGTATCCTGAGTGCCGAACGAACGGCTTGAGTCCCTTCCACACATGCCTGTGAAGAGTACTTATGAAAAAGGATAACTCCAGAACAGCTTGGGAGGCTGTTCTAGCAGTGAGATTCAACAGCTGACTTGCACGTAGGATTTGTCAGCAGTTGCATTACTCCCCTTGGAATTAGTGTGGGATAAACTATACAAATTTATTTAAGAGTCTTTAAAGGAAAACTGTGAAAATTCTAACATTGTGGAACAATTTTCAAAAATTCTCCTAAGGTATAAAGGTTCTTAGTATGAGTGGTAGCATATTACTGCACGTATTTTGTATTTTAGTGCACATATCTGTCACTCAGAAGGCAAAGTGGGATTATAGTGTGGGAAATGATGTTTTTTTTAATTTTAGAAAGATGCACCAGAGTTAAAGCTTCATGTTCTGCTTCACAGTTACGAAAGGTTTTCCATATTTAATAGTATGCAGCTATTTTGCTTCTGTTTAGCATGTTAGGCTTTTATTGTTTATTTTCTTGAGAGAAGATGTTAACAAACCCTGTTGTTCTTTTCTTTAGGCAGATCTGGCATTTAAGCAAAAACAGAAGGAGGAGCAAAAGAAACTTGAGGAGATGAAAGCAAAAGCTGCTGGAAAAGGGCCCCTTGGTAAGTGAGGTACCAGAATGATAGGGAAAAAATGAGGGACTGACTTCAAAAATGTTGTTTTTTCTTGATAAACCTGCACGTTTAAATTATTTAACATGCATCATTAAGATTATGGCAGCTGTAGATGATAAGTAACAAATGGTGGCTAGTTTATTTATTTGTGATTCTGTAGTTTCACTCCCAAATCACTGATACAAGTTCTGGTTTAACAGGTACAACAATATGCCTGGCAAGCTAACTTCTTTTGGGGGTGGTGCAGAGGCATTTTTGCCCTTCCCTTTAGTACACTCAGTCTTTTCTTTCCAGATATATTAAGAACCACGTAGGCTTTGCCACAGTCCTAAACATTTAACAAGTCCAGTCTTTGTTCTCTTAGAGGATGGTGATTTTTTTTTTTCATGAGCAGAAGCTTCCTGGCAGAAAAAAAAAGTGCTGTGACTAGTGACGTAGTCTGGCTTCAACTGTTTTGCCCTAGTGACTGTAAAATCCACCCTGGCATGGAATGTATTGCCAAACTTAAAGGGAACATCTGCCTGTTTGTTCTAGGTGTGTTTTTGACCTGTGGTCCATCAATTTTACTATTCTTTTCCATACCCAGTTATATGTTCTGCTTCCACAGACTTCCAGGACAAGAAGTTACAGGAGTTTATTACCCATTACCTGTTTGGTTGTCTGAAAGTAAATGCGTGTTTTGTGAGTGACCCTCACTGTGCTATTGTGGGATCTCGTGAATTGTGGTTCCCTGTCCTCCTTCCCTTCTGCCCTTAGCATTTTGTTAATCTTGATCAAATTCCCTCCTAGTCGTCTTCTTTCCCCACTAAAGAATTTGAACCTTTTTGGCTTCTGCTAGGAGGTCAGCTGCTGCCCTCCCTCAGTCATTTTAGCTGCCTTTCCCTGCGTCTTTACTGATCACACCACATCCTTCTTGAGATGAGTGCTAAGTGCAGTTTGTTCTCCACAAGATGTGTACACCAGTGCTTACACAGTGGTGAAATAGTAACCTCTCTATCCTTCCTGATGCCATCTGATTTTTTTCAGGCTTTTTTTTTTTTTCCTACTTCACATTAAGATGATTTCTTAGCTCTGTAATCAGTGAGTTCCAGTGGTTCATTCCTGGGTTGTAACTGCTGTTTCCGAGTTCATTGTCACATCAGCATGGTTTAAGCATTTTTGTGCCCTGTGTTGTAAAGTCCTTCTGAAATTCCATATCGTTGGTGAGGCATTTGAGCAGCCACAGGAGCTCAGCATGACTTGCAGAACTGGAGATTTCACTCTGCTGTGTTGTCCAGGTCACTGACAAAGATGTTCAATAAAACTAGTCCCAGCATTGCTTTTTGCAGGACCCAGCTGTTGAATATTTCCCATTCTACAGAGACTATTAGATGTTACTCTTTGCTTCTTATTCTTTAGCAAGCTTTCAGTTACTGAAAGGTCCTAGAGGGGCCTTTCCAGCAATCCCACAGCATCTTGAGTTTCCATTGTTGTGGAATCTCACCAAATATTGATTGAAAGTATTATGTTTCCTGTATTTGCTTTATCTGCAAGGTTAATGATATCCTCCTGGAGTTGTAGCAGCTTAGAGAGGAAGGACAGAAGTCCTGTTAGTTAGCAAAAGACTGTTTATCTCTTTGCTTTATTACAGACTCCTGTAGTTTGCCGGAGATGGAAGTTAGCCTCACTGGTCTGTAGGATACCAGTTGGACAGTGCATGGACAGTCCATGAGTTCTCTGACATGGTGGTTATAAGAAGTTATACTGTAGTAGAGACCAAAAAAATAATTGAGCCTTCTTTTCTGTGGCCTTGCCTCTGTAAACTTGTTCTGCATAGGGCATTCCAGCTGTGAGTACTTGAATAGTTCTTGATAGTACTTCACTGCCATTATTACTCTGTGTTTTTCTAGATTGAATTTTAGTCATCTGGTCCTCATCCAGCGCTTGCCCCAGCAGGTAGTGGTTGTTCTGTTATTGTGTTGGCTAGACTGTTACTCCCAGGAGGCTGAGCAAGGCGACACCGTTAGAGTGACTATACAAGGGCACACAGTCTGCTGTTGCCTGTCAGCTCCTGCAGCTTATCTTGCTGTAGCCTTGATATTTTTCTCTCTCTTCAGTTGATCATATACTACGTGTGCTCTAAAAAGCACTTACAAACTATATTGCACTTTCAGTGTGGTAATTCATGGTGTGTTTTTACCTCACTTTAGTCCCTTCAGTGACAGGACTACACAGATGCCCTCGTAATTCTGGTACCAGCTTCAGTAGAGTTTTGGTCCCAACTGGGACTCCAGCTGCTGTAGGAATACTGATGCCTTCATTTCTGTAGTTGTAAATGCGATTGGACAAGCGGGGATGATCAGGAAATCACCAGACACTATTCACTTGATGGCCTGTCTGTCAGATTGGCTGCTGTTTAACTCAAACAGGAAAGTATAGAAATAAGTGCTGAGTTGAATTGGTGGATCGATCAGCTATTGCCCTTGAGCATGTGACTGTATTGCTTTTTTCCTCATATACAATGAATGAGGAAGAAAAAATGTAAGACTTAATGGCATTAACCAAGTTTTCTAGTATATATTGTTTCCTATGCACCTGCTGACTGAAATCTGTTATTGCTGTGCAGCCCAACTGCAGTCAGTGGAACAGAAAAAAAATGATTATGTATGCTAATTAAAGCTCTTTTTTTATTGTAATTATCCTGCTGTTAAGAAGTAAACAATGGGATTATTTTTGGATGTGCAAAGTAATTACTGAAATATTTAGCTCTTTTGCAAATTTGATGGGTGCATTTGGTTCCTTGAGAAATTTGGTCTCTGAAGTTATTTATTCAGAGTAAAGTGTGTGTGATCACAAACATAACAGTAACATGAAAACACAGTTTACTTGGATAATAAGTTGGGAATATACACTGGTGTTAAGTAGTGTGGAAGTGTGTTTTGCGAGTAGGCTGGTGGGGGTTGACTCCGAGGAACTGAATCTGCAGCTAAGGTGTAGAAACTGCCTAACATTTGTGGTGTTTCCTTTGGCAGCAAGTGGTGGAATCAAGAAGTCTGGCAAGAAGTAGTGTGATCAAGCTGCTGGAAAAAGCGATCGAGTTATTCAGTGGACCTGCTGGCTTCAGAAAGCCAAGAAAACTCACCCTTATTTGAAAACCTTGTACATTTTGTTTAGTCAGAATAAACCTTTTTTGTTAAGATGGCATATTTTCTCCAAGGAAAATTTTGTGTGGAAAAAGGGCAAGCCCAGATTATCCTGGAATTGAAATGCTTAATGAAAGCCACTTTTGGCTGTATACAGCCTGCGTGCAGCTGCAATTTTGGGGGTAATTGGGGGGGTAAAAAATTAATTATTATTTATTATTTTTTTTTCTTCCCAGGGAGAGGTGGGGTTGGGGGGCGTGTGCACTGCGGCTGAGGAGCGGGAGCTGCGCATGCGCGCCGCGCC